TCATCATCATCATCATCATCATCATCATCATCATCATCATCACTATTTAAAAGCCAGGGAAGCCAAAACTAGGTTTTTGCCATGGATTAAAACCAAAACAGAAAGGACTGCCAGGGTGAAAACAAAAGAATTTATCTCCACTGATGTGGATTGACACATGAACAAGAGACTGAAGAGTTGCCATGGCAATAAATGTGTTGGACTTATATGCATGCATTTTCTGCTATAGGATTTTGATTAATGGCATTGACTAGGGAGCTGGAGAGGAGGAAGAAATGGAATACAGTGGAAATGGACTGTAATGGATGGACTCACCCCTCTCGGTCCTTGTATGGGCTTAGTATTTTGTAGCATTCAGGAAATGACATAAGAGTTGCTGGCCATATTCATATTTAGTTGGCAGTGAATCCCTTTGAACAAGTGCTCTGCCAGATACATCTTCTGAATTCTGTTCTTTCTCCTTTTTTAAATGCTCCTTCAGACTGATGGATAAGAATTCTTTTTCTTGGCAGCCCACATCTCTCGGCCTGAAACGGGAACCCCTCATGTCTTCCCTTGGTTTTAAGAGAAAAGCAAGAAGAGAGGACGCTGACCCGCACCCCTTGGTCAGCTCTTCATCAAGTCAGCACAAAAGCACATGCTATCTATGAGAATTTCACCTATAAGGGAAATTTCAGAAACCAATTCTTCTTCTTTTTTTAAATCCAGTTGAATGAGAACTTGTAGGGGGGAAAATTGCAGAAGGGTTTTCTGCACGGCGGCCACGTGTCCCTGTGTGCAACACATGGACAATTGGGGCAGAGTTTTTTCATTGTGATGTCACAATTCATGTTGCATCGTTTGTCCCTCCCCTCCTCCTCCCACCTCAACCCTCCCTCCTCATGGTGAATAGGCAGTTTGTCCATTTTTAAAAGAATACAGTTTGTATATGGTGAAAACTGGATAACGAAGCATCCATGAACATTGTTCCAGTCCAGCTTCTGGTCTTCAAAAAGTTCTGCCTTTGAAGAATCTCTGTTTTCTGATTGGCCTCCTGGGGAAACATTTCAATTAATCCCAGCACATTGCAGAAACTTTGAGGACATTTTCTGGGGCACACATTTACTTTATGCAAGGCAGTGGTGCAATGCTTTTACTCTTCTATCCCTTGACGTGAGCCAGGAATAAGCCAGAAGTCTGCCCTAACTGTAAGACTGTCCTGTTTTTTGGGGTTGTGTGTTTCCAACATGCATTCTTGTGTGCCATTTTTGGCTTTTCTCTTTAAGGAATGGCAGGACTCCCTGAATCGCCATTTGGAACCTATAGATCTATTAAAACAACAGGTTTTAATGGGCCCATACAAATGCCTTAATGGCACAATTCCAGCTGAGTTAATGAAGTTTGACTAATCATAAGCAAATACATTTAAAGGAACAAAAATGAACCCAAATGCGCTGCTGCCATTTCTGTTATAGAATGTACCCTCTCGATTTGTTAACAGGTATTTCTTCAGAAGTGAATGTGGCCGGTATGCAAATATTGGTGCTGGATGGCAGAGCTTCAGTGTCAAAGGTACTTCCACAAACGAAGGCACGGGGGAAGGTGGCATGCTGGCAGGTACAGGTTGCCTTCTCTAATGTAAGCATCAGTGATGAAGAGACACCAATATTTTTCCCGCATTAAACTAGTCCAGGTGTCTTTCAGGAAAGCTGCCACTGAACTCACTGTTGCTTAGAAAAGTCTGGGGCTGGAAGGTCTATTTCAAAACAACAAATAGTTTTACCATTTATAGTATACTCTTTACGAAAATATTTCGCTCCTTTTCCCCCATCTTTGTAAACAAAATAGTTTGCCCCTCCCTCTCTTCTCTTTCCTTCCTTCCTTCCTTCCTTCCCTCCCTCCTTCCTTCCTTCCTCCCTTCCTTCCTTCCTCTCATCTTCCTCCCTCCCTCCCTCCTTCCTTCCTTCCTTCCTTCCTTCCTTCCTTCC